TCGGCATCGGCATCACCGTATGAGTGCTTGTAATCATTATGTTTAGTAGTAGTGTGATTATAATATTCATTAGGCTTAATTTGTCAAAACTTAAAATACTGTATCCAAATAAAGCATTAATTGCTTACTGTAAAAAATCAAATAAGGATCAACATATTAACTCTTAATTTAGCTTTCTAGAAACTATCAACCTTAAATTTGTAGAACGGGAAAGTCAAGACCATTCTCAGCAACCCGATCTTTTAAACATCAGCTTTCCTTCTAAAAATTATACTTGCAAATACATGTGTACCAGGAGTCAATTTCATATTGTTGTGATTGGAGTTTTAAAGGCTTGTGTGGATTTTATTTAGGCCTACTTCATTTGGTTACTTTCTACATATTTTAGACCTATTTTTCTTTGACACTTCGTTTGAACGCATGTATACCAATCCGTTACTCAAATGACGATAACGTAAGAAACTGGAAATTCCCAAACCGTCAAAAAACACAATGGAAAAGTAAAATGTTGTCCATATACAATACCGGTAATATAAATGATATACAGAAAACAAAACATTGTAGAAACAAAATTTAAAAAAAAATTTAAAAAAAAAACATCAATGATCTTTCATCAGTAAAGTGGTAAAATCTATAGATTTCAGAACATTAACTTCTCGTTTTAAGGGATCAAATAAGTTCAACTTTAATTGAAATAAAGATTCAAATAATAACTTATAATTATACAGAATAAACTTAAATTAGCAGTCAATATATTAACCATTTCTATAAAATATCACTTTCAAAATTGGTAGAACGGGAAAATTCATTCTCAGCAATCCGCTTTTGGAAAGATCAGCTCCCTTCTGAAATATATATTTTTATGACTAAAAATTGCACAACATCAAAAAGAAATTGATTTATATTAGATAAATAATATGTCCATAGGCGTATAGTACTGGCAAATAAAGAGAGCACAATGAACGTCCATCTTTAATGAACGGCACTGAAAATGCAAGCTTGTTATAAGTCGATTTTGTGTTGTGAGGTTTCTGTGGTATTTATTTAGGTACTTCCTTTCGTTACTTTACGTATTGGACCTATTTTCTCTCACCCTTCTTTTGATTGTATGTACCAATGAATAATGAAACATTAATACACGAGTACCAGCAATAAGCCAGTAGTTTGAACTGCGAATGCCCGTATGTAAGGTCGATCGACATAAACAAATGTTGTGTTGTATTTGAAGGGAAAAATATTATTATATGCGGGTAATTTGATGAAACATACATCTTTTTGTAAAGCTTATGAATTTTCTCAAGAATTTGATTCTGTTTTGAAATATTTCCATTTTGTTTTGTTAATATAACAATAGAAAAATATACATCAAATTTATAGTGAACAACCATTAAAAATTTACAATTTACATCAAAATTATAATATACACAATATAAGGCCTACAGTAAAAACGCAATCTGGATTAATTTCATAAAATGCATGTGAATTAAATATTACCATCATTTAACAGTTTAACAATTGAAGGGATAGCTGATTTCTGAAACCGATTTGTTTTACAACAAAATGGTCTGACCATACTACTCGATCTTATAGTAATCTAGCAGTATGTTGGATAGGTGGGAGGAAAGGTCTGAATCTTTCCGAATTCAACAATTTCTTGCCAAAATTAACAAGTAATTTGTCTCGTCTTGATTCCAGAGAATCTACTTTAAGTATAGAAAGAACATCAGTGTAAGAGTCAAAACGATCACCTAAGATGATTCTAAAAGCTCTCTTCTGAACCTTTGAAGTTTAGGAATTGGGATAATCGTTGCAGTCTTCCAGATATCGGAGAAGGTACCACTACATCATGCCTTATTAAAAATAAAACTAGGGAATCAATCAACTCGGGTGCAAATTCTGTTATCAATCTTATGGGTAAGTCAGATTGATGGCCAAATTTAGAGGTGTTTAGTTTATTAATTTTATTCAAAAACTGACCAGGGTATACCACGGGTGGTGGGAAAAGCGAAGGAAGAAAAGCTAGATACCAGTATCTAATTGTGGGAATTGAGAACAAATCGTAGTAAAGTGGTTATTAATTATCTTAGCTAGGGCAACATTATTAAGTAGAAAAATAGGAATCCTGATTTTATTTGATTTAACATTAAAATTACACAATCTATTAACATGTTTGTGCCACTTTCCTGGTTTACTAGTTTTAAGTTTCTTCACACAGTACTGGTAGTAAATTTGTTGCACTATTTTCCAGTTGTCGCCATTTAACCAAGTTTCGATTTCTATAGGTAACGCCCTTGTGTTGTATCATATTCCGAATTCTTGGAGTAAACCAGGGTTTATTATGCATTCTTTTCTTTATGGTAATCGCACTGAATTGTCCCTGATACAAATTCAAAAGGTATGTTGACAAGGAAGAAGCCATCACATTAGCAGTCGAATCAACATCTAACACATTAGACCAATCCTCAGTTACAATCACTTGACCAAATGCTCGTACCGAAGAATTCCAAAATGAACTTATCGTACTATAAGGTTAGATTAGTTTGGAAAAGCTGACCTTTGGCTTCATGATGATACAACAATGGTCACTACGGCCTAGTGAGAGTAATTTTGCAGGATCATCAAAAAGATCATTGATGTTAATAAAAATATTATACAACAGCACCACCTCTCGTGTGGGAAAATTACAACTTGTGTTAACAGGGAATGATCCTGTAAAAACGACTTGTCAAACTCGATCCAATCTCCCATATAATAAAAGAAGCCACTGGTTATTTAGTACGTAAGACGTCAATACTTAAAATAATGTGGTCCTTAAGAACATCGGACAAATCTCAACGAGGCGGGAAATAAACGACACATACATATGTGTTTATTATTGTTAATGCGCATTGGTAAGGTTATCTTCTTCCAAATACATTCAAGATTAAAGGAACAATGATACGGGTATCAAAGACAACTAATCGTTAATGTGCATTTAAGCAAATGCCTCCTCCTCGCGATGCACTGTCTTTTCTAAAACAATTATGACCTAAGACCACAAAAGGGCTGTAAACTCGCATTACCACGTTTCGAGAAAGAGGGCCAAATAGACAGTATAACATGTAATTTGAGCAAATGTGATTATGTCATAAATATAAAGTATTACCTTTAATCTTACTATTTTTGAAGTTTAGGTTCAATATTTCAACTCTAAACCCTAAAATTTTATGAAGGCCATTCTACGAGAAACGTATATAAATATAAAGAATACTAATGACCTGTTGGAAAAAGATTTGGAAAACATGGAGGTATAAAAATAGAAAACAATCCTCTTGCCCTCTGGTACATGCTAAGAGACTAGTTGTGTTTATTGAAACTTCACACAACGTCATTCAAATCATGTACAAAATAGTTAAACAGCTTTAAAGAACTAAACAATAATGTGCGTGTCAACATTACAATTGCTTTAGAAATAATATATCTTTAAAAGTAATTTTCTAGAGCATAGCACCATGGTACGGACTATCTTTAGTACTAAATGAAGAAAATAACCTTGAAATATTGAAGTAATTCAAAAGATACG